GCAGGTTCGTGTTCGTGTTCGTGTTCGTTTTCGTGTTCGTGTACGTGTACGTGTACGTGTTCGTGTACGTGTTCGTGTTCGTGTTCGTGTTCGTGTTCGTGTTCGTGTTCGTGTTCGTGTTCGGGTTCGTGTTCGTGTTCGTGTTCGTGCTCGTGCTCGTGCTCGTGCTCGTGCTCGTGCTCGTGCTCGTGTTCGTGTTCGTGTTCGTGTTCGTGTTCGTGTTCGTGTTCGTTTTCGTGCTCGTGCTCGTGCTCGTGCTCGTGCTCGTGCTCGTGCCGTGCTCGTGCTCGTGCTCGTTCGTGTTCGTGTTCGTGTTCGTGTTCGTGTTCGTGTTCGTGTTCGTGTTCGTGTTCGTGTTCGTGTTCGTGTTCGTGTTCGTGTTCGTGTTCGTGTTCGTGTTCAAGTTCGTGTTCGTGTTCGTGTTCGTGCTCGTGCTCGTGCTCGTGCTCGTGCTCGTGCTCGTGCTCTTGCTCTTGCTCTTGCTCTTGCTCGTGCTCTTGCTCGTGCTCCTGTTCGTGCTCCTGCTCGCGCTCGTGCTCCTGCTCCTGCTCCTGCTCTTGCTCTTACTCTTCTTCTTGTTCTTCTTCTTGTTCTTCTTCTATTCCTATTCCTATTCCTATTCCTATTCCTATTCCTATTCCTATTGCCATTCCTATTGCTATTGCTATTGCTATTGCTATTCGTGCTCGTGCTCGTGCTCGTGCTCGTGCTCGTGTTCGTGTTCGTGCTCGTGCTCGTGTTCGTGTTCGTGTTCGTGCTCGTGCTCGTGTTCGTGTTCGTGTTCGTGTTCGTGTTCGTGCTCGTGCTCGTGCTCGTGTTCGTGTTCGTGTTCGTGTTCGTGTTCGTGTTCGTGTTCGTGTTCGGGTTCGGGTTCGTGTTCGTGTTCGTGTACGTGTACGTGTTCGTGTTCGTGCTCGTGCTCGTGCTCGTGCTCGTGCTCGTGCTCGTGCTCGTGCTCGTGCTCGTGCTCGTGCTCGTGCTCGTGCTCGTGTTCGTGTACGTGTTCGTGTTCGTGTTCGTGTTCGTGCTCGTGCTCGTGCTCGTGCTCGTGTTCGTGTTCGTGTTCGGGTTCGGGTTCGGGTTCGTGTTCGTGTTCGTGTTCGTGCTCGTGCTCGTGTTCGTGCACGTGCACGTGCACGTGCACGTGCTCGTGTTCGTGCTCGTGTTCGTGTTCGTGTTCGTGTTCGTGTTCGTGTTCGTGTTCGTGTTCGTGTTCGTGTTCGTGTTCGTGTTCGTGTTCGTGTTCGTGTTCGTGTTCGTGCACGTGCTCGTGTTTGTTCGTGTTCGTGTTCGTGTTCGTGTTCGTGTTCGTGTTCGTGTTCGTGTTCGTGTTCGTGTTCGTGTTCGTGTTCGTGTTCGTGTTCGTGTTCGTGTTCGTGTTCGTGTTCGTGTTCGTGTTCGTGTTCGTGTTCGTGTTCGTGTTCGTGTTCGTGTTCGTGCTCGTGCTCGTGCTCGTGCTCGTGCTCGTGCTCGTGCTCGTGCTCGTGCTCGTGCTCGTGCTCGTGTTCGTGTTCGTGTTCGTGTTCGTGTTCGTGCTCGTGTTCGTGTTCGTGTTCGTGTTCGTGTTCGTGTTCGTGTTCGTTTTCGTGCTCGTGCTCGTGCTCGTGCTCGTGCTCGTGCTCGTGCTCGTGCTCGTGCTCGTGTCGTGTCGTGTTCGTGTTCGTGTTCGTGTTCGTGTTCGTGTTCGTGTTCGTGTTCGTGTTCGTGTCGTGTTCGTGTTCGTGTTCGTGTTCGTGTTCGTTTCGTGTTCGTGTTCGTGTTCGTGTTCGTGTTCGTGTTCGTGTTCGTGTTCGTGTTCGTGTTCGTGTTCGTGTTCGTGTTCGTGTTCGTGTTCGTGTTCAAGTTCGTGTTCGTGTTCGTCTTCGTGCTCGTGCTCGTGCTCGTGCTCGTGCTCGTGCTCGTGCTCTTGCTCTTGCTCTTGCTCTTGCTCGTGCTCTTGCTCGTGCTCCTGTTCGTGCTCCTGCTCGCGCTCGTGCTCCTGCTCCTGCTCCTGCTCTTGCTCTTACTCTTCTTCTTGTTCTTCTTCTTGTTCTTCTTCTATTCCTATTCCTATTCCTATTCCTATTCCTATTCCTATTGCCATTCCTATTGCTATTGCTATTGCTATTGCTATTCGTGCTCGTGCTCGTGCTCGTGCTCGTGCTCGTGTTCGTGTTCGTGCTCGTGCTCGTGTTCGTGTTCGTGTTCGTGCTCGTGCTCGTGTTCGTGTTCGTGTTCGTGTTCGTGTTCGTGCTCGTGCTCGTGCTCGTGTTCGTGTTCGTGTTCGTGTTCGTGTTCGTGTTCGTGTTCGGGTTCGGGTTCGTGTTCGTGTTCGTGTACGTGTACGTGTTCGTGTTCGTGCTCGTGCTCGTGCTCGTGCTCGTGCTCGTGCTCGTGCTCGTGCTCGTGCTCGTGCTCGTGCTCGTGCTCGTGCTCGTGTTCGTGTACGTGTTCGTGTTCGTGTTCGTGTTCGTGCTCGTGCTCGTGCTCGTGCTCGTGTTCGTGTTCGTGTTCGGGTTCGGGTTCGGGTTCGTGTTCGTGTTCGTGTTCGTGCTCGTGCTCGTGTTCGTGCTCGTGTTCGTGTTCGTGTTCGTGTTCGTGTTCGTGTTCGTGTTCGTGTTCGTGTTCGTGTTCGTGTTCGTGTTCGTGTTCGTGTTCGTGTTCGTGTTCGTGTTCGTGTTCGTGCACGTGCTCGTGTTCGTGTTCGTGTTCGTGTTCGTGTTCGTGTCGTGTTCGTGTTCGTGTTCGTGTTCGTGTTCGTGTTCGTGTTCGTGTTCGTGTTCGTGTTCGTGTTCGTGTTCGTGTTCGTGTTCGTGTTCGTGTTCGTGTTCGTGTTCGTGTTCGTGTTCGTGTTCGTGCTCGTGCTCGTGCTCGTGCTCGTGCTCGTGCTCGTGCTCGTGCTCGTGCTCGTGCTCGTGCTCGTGCTCGTGTTCGTGTTCGTGTTCGTGTTCGTGTTCGTGCTCGTGTTCGTGTTCGTGTTCGTGTTCGTGTTCGTGTTCGTGTTCGTTTTCGTGCTCGTGCTCGTGCTCGTGCTCGTGCTCGTGCTCGTGCTCGTGCTCGTGCTCGTGTTCGTGTTCGTGTTCGTGTTCGTGTTCGTGTTCGTGTTCGTGTTCGTGTTCGTGTTCGTGTTCGTGTTCGTGTTCGTGTTCGTGTTCGTGTTCGTGTTCGTGTTCGTGTTCGTGTTCGTGTTCGTGTTCGTGTTCGTGTTCGTGTTCGTGTTCGTGTTCGTGTTCGTGCTCGTGCTCGTGTTCGTGTTCGTGTTCGTGTTCGTGTTCGTGTTCGTGTTCGTGTACGTGTTCGTGTTCGTGTTCGTGTTTCGTGTTCGGGTTCGTGTTCGTGTTCGTGTTCGTGTTCGTGTTCGTGTTCGTGTTCGTGTTCGTGTACGTGTTCGTGTTCGTGTTCGTGTTCGTGTTCGTGTTCGTGTTCGTGTTCGTGTTCGTGTTCGGGTTCGGGTTCGGGTTCGGGTTCGTGTTCGGGTTCGTGTTCGTGTTCGTGTTCGTGTTCGTGTTCGTGTTCGTGTTCGTGTTCGTGTTCGTGCTCGTGCTCGTGCTCGTGCTCGTGCTCGTGTTCGTGTTCGTGCTCGTGTTCGTGTTCGTGTTCGTGTTCGTGCTCGTGTTCGTGTTCGTGCTCGTGCTCGTGCTCGTGTTCGTGTTCGTGTTCGTGTTCGTGTTCGTGCTCGTGCTCGTGCTCGTGCTCGTGCTCGTGCTCGTGTTCGTGCTCGTGCTCGTGTTCGTGCTCGTGCTCGTGCTCGTGTTCGTGCTCGTGCTCGTGCTCGTGTTCGTGTTCGTGTTCATGTTCGTGTTCGTGTTCGTGCTCGTGTTCGTGCTCGTGTTCGTGTTCGTGTTCGTGTTCGTGCTCGTGCTCGTGCTCGTGCTCGTGCTCGTGCTCGTGCTCGTGCTCGTGCTCGTGTTCGTGCTCGTGTTCGTGTTCGTGTTCGTGTTCGTGTTCGTGTTCGTGTTCGTGTTCGTGTTCGTGTTCGTGTTCGTGTTCGTGCTCGTGCTCGTGCTCGTGCTCGTGTTCGTGTTCGTGTTCGTGTTCGTGTTCGTGTTCGTGCTCGTGCTCGTGCTCGTGCTCGTGCTCGTGCTCGTGCTCGTGTTCGTGCTCGTGCTCGTGCTCGTGCTCGTGTTCGTGTTCGTGCTCGTGCTCGTGTTCGTGTTCGTGTTCGTGCTCGTGCTCGTGCTCGTGTTCGTGTTCGTGTTCGTGTTCGTGTTCGTGTTCGTGTTCGTGTTCGTGTTCGTGTCCGTGTCCGTGTCCGTGTCCGTGTCCGTGTCCGTGTCCGTATACGTATCCGTATCCGTATCCGTATCCGTATCCGTATCCGTATCCGTATCCGTATCCGTATCCGTATCCGTATCCGTATCCGTATCCGTATCCGTATCCGTATCCGTATCCGTATCCGTATCCGTATCCGTATCCGTATCCGTATCCGTATCCGTATCCGTATCCGTATCCTTATCCTTATCCTTACCCTTACCCTTACCCTTACCCTTACCCTTACCCTTACCCTTACCCTTACCTTTACCCTTACCCTTACCCTTACCCTTACCCTTACCCTTACCCTTACCCTTACCCTAACCCTTACCCTTACCCTTACCCTTACCCTTACCCTTACTCTTACTCTTACTCGTACTCGTACTCGTACTCGTACTCGTACTCTTACTCTTACTCTTACTTTTACTCTTACTCTTACTCTTACTCTTACTCTTACTCTTACTCTTACTCTTACTCTTACTCTTACTCTTATTCTTATTCTTATTATTATTATTATTATTATTATTATTATTATTATTATTATTATTAATCGTATGGACCCGTTTGACTGTCTCAGAGGATCTAGTATGTGCTGGACATATTTATGAACTGATAATGGCGGTGTGTGGGAAGTATAGTATAGAGTCAACCTTCATAAGGTCTTTTTTAATTTAAGCGTCGAGGTGGCTTAAACATCAATAAACAGTTAATTCTTCTTATGTGGTTTACTTAATGGCCTGAAAAGCATGGAAAACCGGAAGACTGATTAATCAAAATTGCTTAACCACTCTCAAACTACTCGCCCCGCGCAAAAGTTTAAAATCCTGTAACAACGTATTCTACCTGAAGATAACTACCTATATACTGTATTACGGCATCCAAAATGGAGCTGAAATATACTAGCTCCCTCTGTGGCTCAGTAGTAGAAATAAACGCTTTGACTTTTTCCAAAGTAGGTTTCTAGATCTATTTTTGTGTCCTGATACTTTCCCACAGCTGGTGCTAGTATATTTCAGGTATCTTTCTGAACGCCTAAATACAGTATGGTTGACTATTTTCAGGTAGAACAGAAACATTTTAAATTACGGTAATATTATTTATTTTCCATAATTTAGATTACTTTACCAAAAATATTGTTCAAGTGATTCAAAATGAATTCAGGTAAGTAACAAATACTAAAATGGATGAAAATGAATGATTTATTAGGATATCATTACATAAATTTCACGCATAAGCTATTGGTAACATAGAAGCCTCGTTATCTTAGGGGAAAAATTCCCTCAATAACGATATACATGGCAAATGTCTAAGAAACAAAAATATTAATATACTGCAACATCGTTCAGCCCTGATCAAACGTAGTATTGCATATAATTTTGCCATAGGATATGATGGAATTCCTGATGCGTATAAGGAGTATTCTGTTCCCTTGTCCTGTAAAAAAGTTAAATTTCTGTTAATTTCATCAACCTTTGTAACATGAATCACTTTCGTATATATCATTGCGGCACTGTATGTTTCTTTTGTAATTATTGGTTTGTGACTTGTGTCTTTTCGAAATGTCTTTATTGCTAATGTACCACATAACGCATGTTGCGGACTGGTTGGTTAAATATAAGAGTAGCAAATGCTGAACTTCGCCGATCAGTCTGCTGTAATTTTGTAATTCTGTTACTAAAGACGTCTGTTAGTACATATTATTTTTATTATTATTGAATAGAATTATTTATCAGTCGCGTGTATACCTACAAGAGCATATCAACTTTTAAAACAAAGGTTACGAGAAATCTATTACTACTTGCTGTACTTTTTGAAAAAATATGTCACTTTTTAGGTACACCCTATACAGTACAAGAAATGATTTACTACTTATGATAATAAAACGAACCACCTTTAGTTGGCGGAAGGTGTAAGTTTGTAATGAAAACAGCCATTCAGCAACGTTTAATTATATTTTAATCCTTAGCAGCTGATAATCGTAAATGTAAATTATATACCACAAGCGTTGCTGTTTGCCTTTAAGACCCCGTTGAAGAGTCTACATCAATGTTACCACCGTGTTACGTAACTTGGCAAACAGATGCTATGCTCATATGCCCTTTTAACAAGTATACCTGGCATCTGGCTGAATATCATATCTCTGGTTACGTAAAATATTTTATTGTCTTCTGAAACACATTGTACAATCACTATGCTGCGAAGTCATCCACAACCCCTTTATTTTTTGAACTGATGAAAAGCTTCCTAAAAGGTTCAAGCTTCTAGTTCAAGAATTAAATAAATAATTTTGACGACTGATGCAGAAAAAAGAACAGCGAATATTAATGAAATCATTACATTTGTAGGTAATTGTTTGTTTAGGTTAAGACAAAAAAACCATCAGATACGAGTAGTAATTATCGGATAGTTGTGTTTTGTAGCTACAGTTAGCATCTGATCATTGTACAATATGTTGTGAAGAGCTGTTTAATCTGTTTGATATGCTTTTAGTGAGGAGACGAGAACATTTTCAACCATATACCGTCAACGTTGCTCAGACACAATAAAATGCAGTGAAATTAACTGGGAACAAAATTCACTGCAGCCAAACTTGCGAAATAAATTGTAGTGGGGAATCAATACTGACACAATTACAGAATGTTATTAAGGACCTATCATTAGATACTGAGGAAAAAAAATAAGTACATTGACAGGCTGTAAAAAGCGGCCAGCGTCTTTGAAAGCGATGTTGTTGAGGTAGAACAGACAAACCTAGAGGACTTTAAGAAACATCAACAAGAAATCAAAACGCAAAAAGAAATGATATATAAATTACATAATCAACTAAGTACTAGAAAGGATCACAAAAATAACGAGCTGTTAGAAACAATAAATGTACACAAAATACAAATACATGATCTGAGCATAGATATTGAGTCGTACAAAGCAAGCGTGGTTGGAATGTTGAATAGCATCAGTGTACTTGCAGACGCTAATGATTCGCTTATAAAAGAACTATACCACCTCAAAATCCAGAGTTTAGAACTGGAAATCGACATAAATCAGCAAAAGGACAATAGAAGTGATGAAACAGAAAATAACCCTAATGTATGATGATAACAATGAGAAAAACTGACAATCTATTACTACGAATGAAAAAGTTTTGGAAGAAAAGAGTAACATAGGGACTTCGAATGGAATAAAAATTAGTGATGAATCCAGATTCTGTTTGGGATGCATGATGGTGTAAGACTAAGAAGGCGACGAGGTGAAAGGCGAGATTGTCATTTTTTTATGGAAACACTACACTGTTGGAATTTTGGTATCAGAGGCTATTGCTTATAAAAGCAAGTCACATTTGGTGTTCATCAGAAGCAAGTTGAATGCCGTGCACTACAATCGGGAGGTGATGGAGCCACGTGCTTTGCCTTATACGGACGCTGACCAATCTTCTCTTCTAAGAAGATAATCCGCGACCACATATACCCTAAAAAATGTCTGAATTTTATGCTATAAAGTACGGTGTTTCTCAAGGTTCCATATTGGGTCCTTTACTTTTCTATCTGTATGTATCAGATTTCCATCAATAGGTCGATAATTGTTCAAAACGATGATACTCAGAGGCACTGATCAACGAAGATTTAACAAGACTAGTACTCATTTGCGCTCGCATAACCTGAACATTAATCCACCTAAATTTTCAGTCATGGTTTTCAGCTCAAATAACAAACTAACATCGATAGAAACGAAAATTTGCCTTAAAATCTATGATAACCGGCTTCCTAACATATAATGAGTGAGTGTAAAAACTTGGAACTCTGCATTGACACAGAACTCAAATACAAAAAGCAAATAATGGCTACTTCACAAAAACTGAAACTGTGTAAAACATTAATTGTTAAAAATCAGTTTTTGTCACACTATATATTATGGCTCTCTCATATAGTGGGCAAAGCAAATTATAGCGAATTCAGAATGCGTGCGTCAGATTTTCTTGCAGAATGCGAAAGCTTAATTATATTTGGCATAAATTTAAGGAGCTTGAGATTCTGCAGATTAAAAGTATGTATGAACCCCACTTATTGACACTCACACATGAGGTGTTAGCCACCAAACAACCACAATATTTGCATAAGACTTAACGACATAAATGAACTAAGTAAAAGGAATATAAATATGTTCGCATGCAACTGCATGCCGAGATCTGATGATGCACACAACATGCTGGAAATATGGACTATTCTTGCAATTGTTTATATTTTTTTGATGTTGTTAATTAATTAGTTATTATTGAGTAATATGCATACATTTCTATTTGAACAGAATTATATTTTTGTTTTGTTTTAAAGGTTGAGTTTAAAAATGCTACTCTTAGCGACACTTGGCCTTTTTTGTACCTTTTTACGAAATAAAGTCCATTTTTTTATTACTATATACCTAGAATCACGTAGTCTTCCTATCTGTCACGTTTTGGACATTATAGGCAGTATGTTTACCCCATCCTCCGCTAGCACTTCGGCACGAGGTACAAGTAACAGTCTCCTTTCTCAGAAATGTTTCATGATATCAGACTTCTGTTATTTATATTATTTGATAATAATGAACAACGTAAGAATACTTCGAAGCCTCGTTGTCCGTAGAATTTTAAATTGGACGCGATATTTTCGTTAACACCCGATATATCCAGAAGTTTCGGTGAAAGGCAATGCCAGCAAATAAAGAACGCGTCTTCCATTCCGCCAAAATCGAAATTCCAGCACGGATTTTCCTCGAAGGGGGAGAAACCGGGACGCGTAAAAAACCTGCGCTGTGCCTCTTCCCCCCTAACCCTACTCTTCACAAAAAACTAATCTAAAATTCTCTCCATATACGAGGCGGAAGGCCTCGCCTTATTTTCTTCTTCCCGGTTTCCTCACATTATTCACCCTGTCCGCCTTTTCTAACCGCTCTCCCCCTTAGCCCCCACCCCCAAGCACAAACACACACGCTCACATGTACGATACGCGAATGGTTGTATGGAGGAGGTTGCCTCCTCCTAAAGGGGGCTGGAGGGATCTTATCGGAGGATTTTTACGTGATTTCAGCAAATCGAACCAAACGGGTGGGGAGGCGTTTAGGTCGGATGTCTATTTGAAGCGTTTTTCAGTCGTAGTGGCTGCTCGGAAGAAGCTGAATTTAAACCTGAGTCTGCACAAGGTCCAGATATCCTATATACAGGGTGTCTGCGAAAGGTTGGAAAATCTCGAAACTGGAGATACTACAGACCAAAATATGAGAATTAACCTAAATATACCTCAGTCCAAAAGTTGATAGTTTGCGAAAAGTTTTATTTTCAATTTTTCCTTATTGCTTCTCAAATATTTCAGATTTAGGCATAAAACTCAGTATAGGGAGGTTTTATAGTATGAGAAACAAGAATCCGTTATTCTTTATGGCCAAACTTCGAGAGGGCGCCACTTACAGCACTATTCTGGTAAATACCTTATCATAACTCTTTTGTGCTACCTTGTACCTTGGACTGAGGTATGTTTAGGTCATTTCATATATCTTGGTCTGTAGTATCTCCAGTTTCGAGATTTCCCAACCTTTCAGACGTATCATCACACAACAATCGAAAAAAATGCTGGTAAACGCTTTAGTGTTGTCACATGGTACTCATGCAGATGCACTGTTCTCAGAAACTTCAAAATTCATGCACGGGGGCCAAGAGGCGAGATAATGTTTCTCAACACTACTGTTATGAATGAAATATCAGGGATCCTGCATTCAATTCGTATGTGTCATAAGATTAGCAGCAAACAAACTCCTGCTTACCTGCATAAAAGAATTTGTTACAAAGCAGACGTCCACACTCTCAGCCTGCATTACAGACATTTAATTCCTACTCCTAGATTCTGTACGCCGTTTTTCGAAGGTTCTTTTTCTTACGATGTCTCAGAGCTGTATAATAAGGTACCGGTTTCATACAGAATTTTAAAAAGCGATGAAGCGTTTTCTATTGGCTGATGACTCTATAATATTAAACGTACAAAGATTAACTCATTTTTTCGTGTATACAACAGTTTTTCATTTATGTTTTTCTTCAACTCTTTTTGGATCAAGTTTCTTGCTTAAGGTATGACCGTAAGATGAAAGCGAAAAATTATTGTATCTCCTTTCGGTTGAATGGAAGAGCGGATCTTTCTGTGCTGTAGTAAAATCCGAATTCTACCGTTTGTTAGCTAGAATTTATTTAAGTTCTATGTATTTGTTTGTGCGCTTATTTTGACAATAAAAACCATTTATTATGTTATTATTTTTGTAAGACTTGGTCTCTACCACTGCTTGTACTACGTGGTCCAAAGCGCGGTCGAGAAAGTATTTTTCCCAGAGCTTTAAAAAGGGGTAACTTCAAAGGAATAAGGGACAGAACAAAATCATCCATCAGCCAGGTTTGCATCAAAATCCACGATTATATATTCTTGCAATGACATCTGACCTATTAGTTAGTATGTATGTGTGAGACAAATCTGGAAACTCAATTTCGAACCAGTTAACCTCAACCAGTTGAGCTGAACTTTTATATGCATATGCGTTTGGTCCGCGTAACGATAAACAATGAACAAACCACAGACGTCCAACCATGAACAGCTGTTTCGTGCTATTTGGCAGCTCCTCAGAGTATGAGGTCTATCGAAATAAGACAGCACAGAGTGCTATCTATTACCAGAATCGCTGACAATGCGAACTGAGATACAGTTCCAACATACAGCTGTTTTTATTTCAATAAACAATGAAATATGTCTCGCCATTTTCAATCAATAAGGCGCATGTTACAAAATGACGATATATCATTTACATAGTAACCTCTATAATATGGTTATCAAGCGGGAAGGATTGATGGGAGAAACACAATAAGCGAGGTGAGGTCATTCAAAATCTAATATGGCGGTCGCCGCAAAATGGCGATTTATAATTTTTATAGTCACCATTATGATCACTTGAAAGGGCCTGTTGAGAGAAACATGCTATTAGTAATGTTAATCTTAAACCTTCCTTTCATTTCAAGTCAAATAATAGCTTAGTGTTGTTAACATTCCGCTTAATTTAGCAGAACATGCTTCCTCTGAAGTCAGAATGATCTGGAAAGCACAAAAGTATTTGCTCAAAATATTTCATCTCCTGTTAAGTCGGCCATTGTTTAAATCATCTCAAATTCCACGTCTAGCATATGGAAACTTAAAAATTTTAAATTATACTCCAACTAAATTCACAATAACAAGTCAGAACTAGTTCGGAACCGTACATGTCTCGATCATGCACAGAAAAGTAAGTATTAGTACATGTTATCATATAATACAAGTTGCAAGAGCGAGACACTAGAGCAAGTAATTAGCAAATCTTTCTTTACATGGCCAGAATTTTCAAGTGGATGTCTGATTTTAGGTATCTCATTTGCACTACCCTACGTTCTTGTTAGTTCCTTTATGTGATGTTTCATCGCTGTACGTTTACTTACATTATTCTTGCTAGATTCCTGAAGAAGCCAATAAACATATATTGGCTCACTCTATAGATAAGTATTATTTATCCAGCTTAATCTTTTATTGACAGTATCACCAATAATTCTCATCACTATCGACAAGACAGATAAATACCACCACCCCGTCATTTCTGTATAATATATACAGTGTGTCCCAGATTTACTTATATACAGGGATCTCGGTTCCTGTTATACATACAGCAAAGGTTAAGCAGGGAAAGTTTTAGAGGAAACTTAGCGCATTCGATAGCCGACTTCAGATTTATGATCGGTCGATTGGTTTTGGAAATATCGGCGAAAAATCGAAAATGTCGATTTTTTTTGCCAGTAAATCCGAAACGTTTAATTTGACAGCTGTCAAAATGTGACATTATTTCGACATGCTCTTAAGGCAAATAAGATAGCATGTATGACATGTGTGAATCGTCTTTTATTTTCCCGCAACCTGCCACAACTTTCATTTTTCTTATAGCGGCCATATAGGCATTATTCATTTTTCAAAAGCGTGTAAAATTACCAGACTAGTGATGCCTTACAAGCGCATAACAGATTGGAATATTACCGAAATATCATCACACGTATTGTTATGTATTAGTTTTTTTCTAAGGAGGCCATGTTTTATTTGTCAGAAAATAGCATTAATGAGTAAGGCATAAAAAACACATAAATGCCTAGATTTTTCAATAGAATATTAACGTAAACATGGCATACATGTTATTTTATTTTTATTAAAAAAAATTCTATATAATGTCACATTTTGACAGCTGTCAAGATAATAGCTTTGGATTTACTGGCAAAAACAAATTCTATTTTCGTTTGTTCACTGATAATTTCAAAACCATTTGACCGATCGTAAGTCTAAAGCCGCTATCGAAAGCACTAAGTTTCTTCTAAAACTATCCCCATTTAACCTTTGCTGTAGGTATAACAGGAGTCGAGATCAATTTATGTATGTATATAAGCGAATCTGTATGTCTATGTCACAGGAGGCGATTGACTTAAGACAACTAACATTCATTAATTCAGGACTCATATGAACAGGGTATTTTCAACATCTTTTTACCTGTAAGTACCAGAATCTTCGGTACTCAATATTAAGGCACTATAAGAAAATTAAGTACGCGAGACTGAGTGTTTAACTTGGACAATAAAAACACCGAGGAAGACAAATCAGTGAAAACGATTTTGATCAAGGTAGATCATCCAATCAGCCGCCCAAACTAGCTATTTCAAATCCAGCCTCCAGAATTCAAGCGTCCTGAGCACTATAGCTCATAATGATACTAATACTTTGGAAAAAGGTTTGATCCCAAGTACCCTAAACTCCTCAATTTTCACCCCGGCCCTGAATGTATACGGAAGCAATATACTTTTTCAATTCAATATTCATACATTCATGAATCGTAAACATCAGAGAATTGTTGTAATGTTCAAGTAGAGTTAGTCAAAATGATCAGACTTCTGTTAAAAAGTCCTCGGAACATGCTCTCTCCACCTTCTTTTCACTGTTCTTATGGATTTTGTCTTCTAGATTTTCTTACATTAATCATTCTATCCCTGTTAGACACCCTCACATGTACGATACGCGAATATATGGATAAAGGATCCTCCCCTTAGTCGGGGTTGGAGGATTCTTATCGAATTTTTCGCAAGTTTAAGCAAATCGAAGGGTGGGGTAACCAATGAAGCCTAAGTGTTGCGATCTTGTATGATTTTCTGTAACATACAATAAAATAAACACAGAACAAATTACCTTTTCGTGTTTCTTAAAATCAAATTTTCATTGGCTTTAATGACCATCCTGTATTGTTTGTTATGCAAAACCAGCTAAAGTGAAATTTTTCACCTCAAAGCCAAATTTTCATACCAATCTAACGCGAACTTCTTGTATAAATAATCCATCATTGCTGCCTTACGTAAGACACCGCATTGTTACATCTTTCTTTCTTACGGATAAGAGGAAGATATGCAAAAAACTTGCGCTGTTGTTAAAAAAAGTATACCTGGGAAGTAGTAGTTCCTACCAAGATCGAATTTCAAAGTACTGGAATTAAATGTCTGGCATTCTGCATAGAAAATGACGTCAAGTAAGTTGACTCTGCACTTCCCGCGCTACGCTGTCATCAGTTCGTAAAGGTTGTTTGGCACAAGTTAGCCCTTCTGAAACAAAAATTAGCCACACAAAGTATGAATTGACCTTCTTGTCATTTTTCTTGTAACCAAGCTAGACATAAAAATCACAGCTGCATTATAATACAATCATCTCAACAAGGATTACAAAAACATGTCACTTATACTATTTCATACTTTCTAGTGATGAGCTACTTTTGGAGGCAGATTGCCTTGCAATCTTGGTTGCCCTAATCCTTACTGGAAGTGGAACAGGTTACCAAGGGTCTGCAAATGATTTCATCTCCTTTTGGATGGTTAGATGGTTTCTATCCAGATACATGCTAACTACTGGCTTGACATATTTTAACAGTGGATTCCCAAAATGGTGGAGTCTTACATTCAAAATGATTCAGCAGATACGAATACCCTTCTAGTTTTTCATTTCCTGATGCATATACTTTTTATTATTTATTTTGTTTGTTTTTATACATAGTAATTTGGAATAACAAATAAGCAAATTGCTAATCTTGCAGAAAGTCGTTAGTTAATATAGTGGAAAATTTTATATTGAATGGACTGTCAATACTTCCAAATTTGGCTACATGCTTATTTTATTCGTCATTTAACTGATTTATTAACAGAAAGGAATACCTGTGTGTTATAAGAAATAAAAATAATTATCATACTGAGGTTAGCTTAATGTGTTCAAAGCCAAGTTTCAAATATCAGGTAGGCTACCAAAGAGGTCATATGCGACTGAAATCAGTTGACACTGCATTATTGCCATTGTGATTGATGTGCATTCCTTGAATGCTTTAATCATTTTTTTATCTGTATAGAATGGCGCTTATTTCTTAAATAACATACAGTTTCTTGTTATAAATATTATATTTGATTTCCGATTTTTTTTGTAATTAATCCATCAAGCTTTATGTTAGGTTCAAAAACCTTAAGGTCTTCTAAAATAACAGTAGAATGCATTATTATGAACACAATAAAGTTAATATTATTGGAACTAAGAGAAGTCAAGATCCATAGTCTTGGAAAAAAATTGATGAAGATTTCACTCAGTATTCAAATTAATACTTCTCCCAAAAAGAAAATGGTGTAAATTATATGTTTATAAAGAAGTATTCCTTTTAATTTTCTTAATAAGCATATATCACCGGCAATATATACTGGTACACTCCTGAAATGTAGATATGCATACCTTGTATTAATTGATATGATCACGTATTTTTTTGTGAATATTTCCAGCATTTGAATTTGTCTTTCAGAAAAGGAATAACATCATTAATATTGTTTAAACAATTTTTTAAATCAAATTACTGAAGTTGTATTTCACGTATCGATACCGGACTGTAGGAGATATTGCTAAGTTTTGAGGGTAAATGAACAGGGATATCTATGACGAATGAAATATGCCTAGTATGTTAGTAGAATTACTGGGGTTAAAGATGTATAAATATTACAAGGTCAAAAATTGAGATATACCCAGATCGACAGATAGGTCGACGGAAGTAAATGACATTGTTTTTGTGTTGCACATGTCATTTAACATCCAAAAAAACATAATGTCTCATTTTCGATTACTATACTTCCTCGCCAGTAATCGTAGCAATATTTAGGGTTTAAGATCATTGTCTACCACACCTCGATTTTTTGAGACAAGCATACATATTTCAAGACAGACACCAAATAAATAAAAAACCCACGAAAGGGCAAGCCTTGTATGTAGGTGATATATTTTCATTTGATATGCCAGTGGAAGTAAAGAATAACCTTTATGTGACCATTATATTCAACTGGACCAAGAACTTAACGCCTATAACTATTATTTTTGAAACATATTACATAAAGCGTCAAGCTCAAATCAGTGAGTAAGGAACCTGCAATACAACTCAATGTTACTCGTGTCTTCTACAGTGGGTCAAAAATGTATGCAAAATGTAATATTATTCCTGAGACTCAATAACGAAAGATTGAACAAATAGCCATTTTTGATGACGATGATGATGATAATATAAGAATGATAATAGGGTTGGCCAACTTCAGTGGTCGAAAGAAATTGGCACACTGAAAAAACAAACATGTAAATAGGTGTTCACAAAATCTATTTACAGTTAGTACTTTGTTATCATACCATTTGCATTAATTACGGTCTTGTCATCGTGACTTAGAGATTACACAATTCCAAAGCTCCACTGCAATCCCCGGATACCAAACCCATTAGACATTTATGGTACTTGCTGGACCTGAAGGCCCGAAAAAGCAGAATTTCTACCAAACGACAGCTACAGGATGTTCGATCTATTTAATATAAAAAATGCCTGTTTCAGATATTGAGATTAAAAAAAGCGGGATGTGCCAATACTTTGTTGACCTACTGTATATACTTCAATCAGCCAGAACTGTATTTGCTTTTTGAACAAATTTAAATCGTTACTTTTGGCAAGACACTGAGATTGTTTTAAATGTATCAGCAGACTGGTCCTACCTTGCCATAGCGTTATTTGAACCATGTTCATGTTTTGTCCTTATTCAGTCTCATCAGTGGCGTATAAATGCACAACACCCTGAACCTTGGTATTAGGAAAATCCAAGACATATGTTTATTCGAACATTTTTTGTTATTGTATATATTTCCCCCGATTATATCCTTGGTGTATACTGTAGCTATTTTCTATTTTAATGTGTTTTAATCGGCTAATGGTATTGCATGTTATTTTGTAGTAAATTTTATAGCGAAATGACGACAATTTAGAGCGCTCTATTCGTTTAGAGGTGTGTGTATATCAACTCGTGGCAGTTGCACAGCATATAAAAAACTGCTCAAATGCAAAACGGACTTTTAAATTAATAGCCCTTAAATATTTAAATTCATGGAGAATGTTTGTCGACACGCAGCAGTTTTTGGACTGCATCGTCAATTGTTTTTTATATTATTTATGATGCTTTGTTATATTCAGGTATTTACCGCAAAGGGCCCTAAGAAAATATTCCGTTAAGGAAATAATTGCTTAGGAGTGTGATAATGAACAGAAAAAACAAACGAACTGTCACCTGGAAGAGAAATAAAACATATTGTCATTGTATTGAAGATCATCTTTGTGATTGAAACATTTTCAGTAAAGAGTATATCAATACATGTGACTTTATTGGCTAGACAGCATGTGGGACTATCATTGTAAATATATGTATCACTATACAGGGTGTTTGAAATTCGATTGAGATCTCGAAAACGGTGAGAGATACGAAGTCGCTTGAGTGGGGGCAAAGTTCTGTATTTAGGTAACTAACAGAATCTAGAGACACAGAAAAAAGTTTTCTCTTAATAGTATTAATTTCTTCCTGACTTTATTTGTAGTGGGACTTCAAAGTAAGTTGCATGAATAGAGTCTTTGATTCTGATTTCAAAAATGTTTTGTTTCGTATACCAGCCCAGACCACAAATTAAACATAGGAACAGAGTTTTCAAGACTAAGCGTTAGGGAAATAAACCATGCAGGGAACAATGTACAGAGAAGAGACAAACTTGGTCTACAAAACAACTTCCACTATGATTTTAATACCATGAATGAAATCTTCATTTTGTGTTCAGGTTTCACCATACCCTTTTATTTCCTTATGGTTTTCGTTCCAACAACAAATTCGTGGTTGACTAAAGAAATACATGACAGAATTTAGGACTGAAAAGTCCATTTAAATATAAGAGATTCCAATATAGCGTCCATATGGAAAAAACAAGGCTGGTGACGGAAGCTGAAAGACCAAACTGCAAATTGAAAATTTCGTTTGTAGAGGAGGAAAGGGCAATTGCGTCACGGCGTTTATTTTGGAATCCCATCTCAAATTAGGTCAGGAAAAAATAAAGATGATATTGCAATAAATCTGGTATATGAGACAAATGACTAAGAATTACAAGGCTTACCTAGGAAATTCTGTTTTTTTTTCAAATAATTGAAAGGTGTAGCAATATTTTATGTTTTTGAAATCAGAATTGAATACTCTATTCATCTGAACAAAAATCCAGAATAGCGTCCATAAGAAGAAATAAAGTAGATGCTGAACTACAAGCGACAAAACTTCATATTTATATTCTAATTATATCGTTTTGTAGAGCAGAAAAAGTAGCAATGCCAGTGTGAAACTTATACCACTACAAATAAAGTCAGGAAAAAAAATTAAAACGATTTTGGGAAAATTCAGTTTTTTTTAACTTGAGGTGCACGAACGCATTATTGAAAATGGCATGTAACCCACTATGTCATGTCAACGGGCTTTGCTCTTCAAAGTTATCCTCCAAGATGCCGCCGTGCGATGTGTCTGCCAGCAGGCCCACCCGCCTGACTTCGACCTCCCATCCTAATCCAGTCGAGCTTCATACATCCAGAACTGGCTGATACGATTGCTACTTTGTCCTCGTCTCGCGATTGTGGAACAATCTACCTTAGGAGGCTTTTCGCAGTTCTACTAACCTTAGGTACCCCAGGATTTAGGTTCCTTCCCTTGCGGGTGTTCGGTATAAAATACGGTGTCAAGTAGGTTGACTGATGTGCACTTCTCACGCAAAGCTGCCATCAGTTCATAAAGGATTATACTAGCTTCAAACGTGTATAACAAGGAAATTCATGGGGTCAAGTCAGCCAAACAAGCCCATATACAATTCGTACATACTCCATAATCCTCATCCATTCGATAACGTTACTGCTAGTTGAAGGAAAATCTTTGATGTGTGGAATATGTACTGACAGGTGCGTAAAACTACTGGGGTTAGAATCGTATAAATATGCTGCCGCCACTGGACCGACTTTCAAAAGTTTCTTCGTCCTTAGCATAGTCGGTTTAAAGATTAACGGACAGACGGACAAACAGACAGACAGACCGAGCGACGGAAATGAGTGACAGGGTTTTTATGATGTGCTTGCCATATAATATCCAACAACGTAGTATGTATTTCATTTTCAGAAATTTTCGCATGTACAATACTTCCTAGCCAGTAGGCGTGAGAAGTAAAAAAATAATAGAGACCTTATACAATTAAAAAATCGAACCAACAGAATATTTTTAATATTTTATTTAAGTTTCTGCTTTGTCTTTATTTCACATCACCTGCTTATACTTTTTCTTTACTACCATTTCGAATAATTGCTGGTCTTCTCCACGTATACCACAAGCAACTAAACAATCCTTCCTTATATGAATTTTACACATTGTTCTTCACAAAACCCATACTGGATATTATTCGAGTACCTCTTGGATGGCTGATGGCAAAGGGTGAATGCTGCATATTTAAACTTACTTATGAATCAAACATCCCAAGCCGAGGGGACCATGCGAACATTAATTTCCATTCGAGTGGCAATAACAAAACAGTTTCTTGAAGTCATAAAAGAATATTTCAGGCTGCCGTAGAACTACCAAGAGACGGTGACTTATTTTTTATAACTGAGCAGCCACTTAGGCAGACGTCTAAATACCGGGACACCGCTACAGCTGTAACCAATAGCACAATTATATATAAAAGACGTTTTAAGGACGTCTTGTGAACACTGTACGACATCGTAATGACGTTGTGAAGATAATACGTGTGTTAAGAAAACTAAAAGTGCGGCATTAAAGAGATATAACTAAAAAAAAAACAGGCGGATCATTAAAAAGTATATTTACTGAAAGTTAATCTCAGAACCTGTCATTATTTTTTTGTGTGGCTATGCAGCGGTTCAAAGCTGCAAGCTCCAATTGCCATCTCCACACCGTAGCTTCGGTATTTACCAGTCATCTCAGCAGATACTGAAATAAATACGTAGGTACACGTTATGCCACAAACTTTTTTAATTTTGTAATCCAAAATTCGTTTGTTGCATTCCTTTTATACTATTTAGTAAGATGTCTCAATTAAAACAAATAATCTTAAGTAATTAGCGAATAAGTATAATAAGCGTTAGCTGTTGTTGGGCCAGGCCAGTATACGGTTACACTTCAGACTACACTCTATATTAGCAGAAATTAATCAAAAAGCCAATAAAAACAAACCGAATTGAACAAATACATTGCTTGCCGGGTTGGTCAATACGACCTGGCTCGTGGATTGTAGCCATTCACGGAAAGAGTTGTAGTTGTGTCCTATATTCTTCAAAGACGCCGGCAGCATTTTGTTCAAATTAATCTACTTTCAAGGCCTATTATACTTACCTTTAAACGGAGAGAACACTTTTTCCTAATATCTAATATTAAGGGGAGAAGACGTTCGGAATGCACAATACTTTTTCCCGAAGGAAGACAAGTGGAAAACAGAAAACGTAGCCAGATTGTCAAATGACAAAGCTAGAGATGTTGCAGAGGTAAATATAGGGATGTGCTTGCTTTAAGCGACACGTCGTCATCTGGTGGCCAATTGGTGCATTAAATTAGGATGTTCGCGATGAATCTTGACGTTTAAATAACTCTAGAAAATGATATGGTCTTTCAAGGACTTTCGCATAGTTTTAAACATGAATCTCAAAAAAGTGTTAAAAATGAATTAGCTGTTTTTAACCGTGGTTGGATAAATGAGAAAATATGTTTTACTTTAATGTCTAGTTAAGTGTTCAGCATCTGGATATCTTGCAGCCAGAGAGAACGTAGGGACGTAGGATAAAACCTTTTTATTATTTATATTATTACCATAACATAAAGTACACAGGATGTTTGATTTGAAACGGCTGGCTTGGCTGGCTGATGGGATGACCTACTTTGATCGAAGTCGGCTTCAGTGATTTGTCTTTCTCGGTGTTTTTAATAAATTTCTTGTGCGCCTGGTCCAGGGGTATCGCCACACTGTCCTTTTGTAGCATCTCCCAGAGTTTGTCTTCCGGGATGCAGCTCTTTTATATACCTAGAACCAAATTTGTCTGACAGTTTCAGTTCAATGTGTACGAGAGAAAAGTGTGAACAGACACATTTGCTAGAAAAATATAGAAGCCGCATGGATAGCCAAGCTCATTACCGCGTTACCTAGCATCGCGAACGTGACAATCTGCCGCGTTGCCAATTATGCTACATCAGTTCCTTGAATTAAGATGCATATTGAAAGTATGCGATAGTTTGTTCTTGACGCCCAAATGATGGTTTTATTTTGAGTGTACATATTTTTGAATTGTGAATTGTGTCGAATATGTTTAGGATTGAATTACGATCGGTCCTAACGATGCTCGATTTTAGGTCGAAATGAAAGGTCAGTATCACCAAAAATTCTGCAACAGTGCATCATTGGTTCGCTTGATAACACCGCATCTTGTACATTTCAAGGGAAGGTTTCCACCTCCATGACCATAGTTGAGCGATTTTGCTGAGTACCCATCTAGCGCTCGTAGGGGAGTTTCCCCCTGCTTCGAAATGGTTGTATTGTGTAACGATCTTTGTTACATTTTCCAATCGCAGCGCTGTCGCAAAATGTAACAATAAATGAGAATGTGTTAATTTTATCACCGTCGGTGGAAATCAAAAATAATTCTAAATAATTCAAAACACTAAATCGTATCAAAATTGCAATAAGTAATTCCAATAAGAATTAAAATAAAATATTAAATCAAATGTTCGAACAGACCTCGTTCTTGGGTTTGACAGTAACCTAACCTATTGATGTAGCAGCCAGAACATTTTCTGGTACATATTGGCAACGCGGCAGATGACATGACCTTCTGCGTCACCGTTGCTAGGCAATGTGGTGATGAGCTTCGCTCTTCAGCCAGCTTCTGTCTCTTTTCTCTCTTGATACACACTTCTCGCGCATCTCTCTCATACAGATTGAACTCAAGCCCAGAGGCAAATTTGGTTTCTCCTGTGTATCCTTTCAAGGCACCTCTCTAATTTGAGAACTCCACTTTTACTTATGCTTGGAAAGACATCAGTAAGTCGGTATGTTAGTACCGGCAATTATTTTCAATTTCACATCTATAGAAACATTGGAGCAGAAGCTAATAATTGGAGACAGAACATACGCTGCTGGGTTAGCCTTAAGAGTTATTTCTCAAAGAGGCTGTCCGTGCTTACTGTTTTATTAAGATTGAGGCCAAGGTATCGTGTTTGATCGAGGACGGAGGTTACGACTGTTCGCTCCCCATTTCCGAAAAGCTTGATCTGTTTAGGGTACGTTCGTGCTCGTTCAAATTCAGTACACTCGGTTTTCTGCTGTTAGGTCTCATAAATACCTAAAAATCTCATATGAAAAGTTTTTTCGTTCCTGTCATCACTTGCGATCGAATTCCAAAAAACACGTTTTCACATTTTTTGTTGTCAAAAAATTGCTGTACCTGTTTTGTGCGTCCATGTTTTAAACACCCCCGTGAACAACTTGCACCAGTAAAACCAAACTTTACAATTATTTGCTAATATAATTAGACTAATTGTGATATCGTTTGTCCTGCCATGTTCAGCAGCATATAAGTTCCACAGTTAGGGTCCGATCATAGATTTATGTGGTACTTGATGGTAGATTTTTGTTTTGGGCTGATTGTTTTTACCGCGAATTTGTCAGACGAGCAAACAGTTTTCTATAATTTTGATGACATATCCAGAAGAGCCGTTAAAGAACTGGAGCAAGCTCCGATGCACTTTCAGTACAATAGCAGGAATCAAGTCCGAATGATAAACACACGGCCACGAGACGTGGAAAGCAATTCTCTTTAGGTCGATAAAACTCGAACGTTCTCATTTTTATGTATGTGAGGAGCATATGCCGGTGATGCGAACTGCAATAAACGCAGATTGCTTATGGTTGTCTACATTCAGTTTCCAATTTTCAGCGCCATCCAGGCGGGCACCAACCAGCTTCTCTTCGAACTTCTACAATAACGCCACAGACGTTGAAAAACTAGACACAGAGATCGTATCTATAGATTTTCTCAGGAACACCGACTCTGGCATGTCTCGCTAAATAAAGAAACGAAGTTTGTCGGATTCTAATTCACAAATTGATGAAGTAGTTGGATGAATGGTGTGCTTTTTCGATTAGTTTTCGAGCCGTACATTGCACTGATTTAAGAACGTATTTGGCGACAGTAAATGTGGAAGTACAGTTACGATTGAAGATTTTTTGTGAAAGGCTATTTACGTTAATCAGTTTATTCAATACCTTCGTAAGTTAATAAAGACGTTATGAGAATAATTAGGCAAATGACACGATTGCACCTAGTCAATTACAACAGATTTTTTATACAGAAGCATAAATACCATAGCACCGCGACTGCTATCAGCAACTTAAATACACCTTGTTAATCCAATTTTTGAACTACCTAAAGTTAGTAGAACTGGGACAAGCCTCCTCAGATAAATTGTTCCACAATCTAGACACCTTAAGGATGAAAGAGCGATCTTACCGGTTAATTCGGGATGTACGAAGTTCGGCACGCTTAGGTCGAGATACCGAAGTCAGGCGGGTCTGCTCTATCGTAATTGACGGGTTCTCCTCTTTATCCCACATCGTCAACGCGGGTGTTCCCCAGGGATCGGTCTTGGCTCCAGCACTGTTTCTCTTACAAATCAACGACCTCCTTTCCTGCACGATCAACCCAATCTACAGCTTCGCTGATGACAGCACTCTACCTGCAGGAATTCAGAGTGACAAGCCGATCTCTGCCGATGAGCTGGAAAAAAATGACTAGCGACGACTTCCTCTGTGAAAAGAGGCCTGGAGGCTATCACTGCATGGGGATGCAACAATCTTGTACAGTTCAATGCTTCCAAAACACAGTACTGTACTTTGACGAACAAAAAGCGTCCTAGCGATCATCCAGCTTCGATGGTCGGCCGAGTTCTGCCAAAGAGCCACTCATTTCGGCTGGTCGGAATCCAGATCACCGAGGACCTGATCTGGCACGAACACATCTCGTCAATAGCTGCAGCTGCTGGGAAAAAGTTGGGCTATTTGTTTGGAGCTAAGAAGTACTTTTCTCTGCATGACCTTCTCACTCTATACAGGGAATAGATAAGGCCTAGCCTCGAGTATTGCTCACACGTTTGAGGTGCTGCCGCCCCGACTACATTATCCATGATCGATGCTGTCCAGAGGAGGGCGGTCCGACTGATCGATGACTCTTCTCTAATAGACAGTCTCTGGACTCTTTCGCACCGGCGGGCCGTCGGCGATCTAGCTCTTTTCTATCGCTACACCAACGGGCTTTGCTCCCCAGAGCTCTCTTCCATGATGCCGCCGCGCGATGTGCCTCTCGCCTGACTTGGGCGTTCCATCCTAACCGTGTCGAACTTCGTACATCTAGAACTGGCCTATACGACCGCTTCTTTGTCCCGAGGGTGTCGAGATTGTGGAACAATCTACAATAGGAAGCTTTTCTCAGTTCTACTAACCTTAGGCAGTTCAAAAATCGTATTAACAAAATTTCTTTGGGATCATCATAGCAGTCGCGGTGCTCCGGCATTTAGGCTTCTGCCTACGCGGCTGCTTCGATATATATAAAAAAAAACTGGGGGAATTCACGTTCGACTTTCTTCGCCGAAATAGCGGCTGTTTTTGGCACTGACAGGAGAGTTTCATAGCTGTTTGTTATTCAATCTGTGCTTCAAGTTTGTGGTAAATAATTTGTTATAGCTTTTTTGTGGTAAAATCCAGGACGTTATACAACGTTGACCCTGTTGTGTGAAAAATCCAAGATATCCCGAAATGGATTCTACTAAGGAAGCTAAGACGTTTCATATTGATATAATTATAACGAAGATGTACCCTGAATGTTGTATTCACGCACACCGTGGATTGCAGGTATGTTTGATTTTCTGTCAATTACTGTTACTTAGAAGGGTTTTTACCAAGGTCCCGCCCTTTGCCTCGATTGGGATTAATAACACTTGAAAACCTTGAAGTAGAAACAGATAAAGCATAGGTCCAGATTTTGTTAACTTTCACAAACTTTTCAGAAATATGGCCTTAACCAATCCCAACCAACTATAATATATTCTCGTATCGACCCTTGGCTATATTACATTGTATTACTTTCAGATTCAGACTTATTCTTCAAATATGGTGATTTGTTCGACATGCTGCATGATTTTCCATTTAAGCGTCTGGATAGAAACTTTCATAAATGGCAAGTGGAAATTTTTAAATAAATAGGCCAGGGATGGCTGTGTAATACCAGAAATAAAAATCTTGCAAGATTTATAATAAGGTTTAATAACAAGTGACTGGAGGCTAGTCAAAACAGGTCATTTTTGATCATTTACTAAGATTGGCTCAGTTGAACCAACTGCACAATAAATTTTAGAAGCAAAATCAGCTCAAGAAAATCCATCACTAGAGGCCCACCAAAATCTAGTTTCACTGATAGTTCTGAAAGAACTAAAAGATTAGAAATTTTTGAACTTCGAACCATCACGAGAGCTCAAGAATTGACGTATGCAGGACAAATTAAATCAAGAGCAGACTGAAATGCAAGGGGCTGCAAAATGTAACCTCAGATTCGTTGTTTCAGGCGTCAATCTTGATAAAGTTTTTATCTAGTGCTATAGACATATTGTATTTTATTGTTTGTTATGTTTGAAATATGATACTTCTGTTTTTTTTTTAAAGGATTCTTCTCATTCGGTAATCACTATAATATAATAATCTTCTACCTAACATGATGATAACAACTTATTTCAAGGATTCGACGCCATATTGAGCACGCCATATCCAATTTTCTGCTTTTTGACAGCAGATTTCAAATCAGCAACATCAAAAACACTTCTGCACTAAGTTTCGTGAGGATGATACAAAGGTTGTATTTTATGCCAGCTATTTTGGTGTTCTAGACTCCTGTGAGTCGGTACGAAAGGGTCCGGAGACTGTCTGTTAGAGAGGAGTCACCGTTCAGTAGGGCAGCCTTCGTTTGAACAACATCGGACATAAATGATGTAGTCGGGGCGGCAGCACCTCGAACATGTGAGCAGGACTCGAGGCCATCAGGGTCTTAGAGAAAGTGCATGTTGAAAAGCCCTTCTTAGCCCTAAACAACATATTTAGCTTCCAGGTTTTTTATTGAGCTTAATGCAGGCTATGTAAATACATACAGGGTTTGTCCGGAAAGTGATAGGACTGAGTCGATTTAAAAAAATTTATTGAGCCAATCGTTACAATTCTTTTAACACTTTCAAAATATTCTCCTTCTGCGTCGATGCAGCGCTGCCAGCGCGATTTCCAAGCATTGAAGGCGTCACGGAAGGCATTCTCCGGAAAAGCCTTCATGCTGCTTGGATCCCCTCTGTCGTCTCAAAATGCTTGCCTTTCATCGGCCTTTTCAGGCGAGGAAACAAAAAAAGCCCGGGGGGGGGGGCACATCTGGGCTGTAGGGCGGCTGCGGAAGCGTTGGGATGCCGGCCTTGATCAGGTAGCTGTTCACAAGAAAGGCGGTGTGAGCCGGGGAATTGTCGTGGTGCAACTTCCAGTCGGCAGCGATGTCTTGTCGGACCCGACTCACCCTTCGTTTGAGTGTGGTGGACGATGCCTTTGATGTCAAAAAAGACAAATGAGCATCGTTTTCACTTTGGATTTGCTCATTCTTTACTTTTTTGGGCGAGGAGAAGCCGTCGTGCGCCACTCGGAAGATTGCCTCTTTGTCTCGGGATCATACTCGAAGATCCACGACTCGTCACCTGTGATTACGTTATTCAAAAATTGGGGGTCACTTTCACACATGTTCAAATTTTCTTGGCACACTTCCACTCGCCGCAATTTCTGGTCATCACTGAGCACTTTTGGGACCATCTTCGCGCACACCTTGCGCATGTTCAAATGCTGTGTCACAATGTCATGAACCACAGATTTTGGTAAATTTAACATCTGGGCAATTAAGCCAACACTTATGGATGGTCTGAGTTCAAAACTTTGCGCACACGAGTCACATTATCGGTGTTTGTCGAAGTCGAAGGTCTTCCAGAACTATCTTCATCAGCGACCTTTTCCCGGCCCTCCAAAAAGGCCTGGTGCCACCGAAACACACCACTTCTTGCTAAAGCAACTCCTGGGTAAGCCTGCTTGATTATATCAAACGTCTCTGTCGCAGATTTACCGAGTTTCACACACAATTTAATCGCGTACCTCTGCTCTAACGAATGCTGCATTTTCGGCTTGCACCACTCACAGAAACACGTCGCGCGAAAATGCCTGTCCTGACTCTCCAAGTGTTCGGAGACAACTGATCATTCGCTCATTCGTTAGCTAGGAACGCCCTCTACCGAATCTAGTCGGTGCGAGCACGCCCCGAAGTACAGTCGTGGCGGAAGAAAATGAGTCCTATTACTTTCCGGACAAACCCTGTATAGTGAATATTATGCTCAGAACCTCATATGAGCTAGGCTGCAATATGAGTATATAGTTACATTTTCTTGATTCTCATATTGTCTACTTTCCTGAGAACCTTGGTGTCGTTTGTAAAGAACAAGGTGAAGGTTTCCACTAAGCTATACTGAGTGACAAATAAACACCTACGTATGTTTATCCGACTTTAATAATTTTTCGCATATATGTTCAGTGTTCCTTACTAGTAAAATGATTGAATTTTCAGCTAGATTTGTCAACTGGCTGCAGAAGCTGGTCAATAATGTGTTGAGGATCCACGATTTGTTATACATCGACACGGCTGGGCATTGTGCTGGTAAGGTGGTCGATATCCTGTTGGTGTATCTCATTCCAGGCTACTGTAACTCCGTAAGTAAGTGCTGCTAAAGTCTGTAGAGGGTGTTGCAAATTCAAGAGCCTGCTTCCTATCATGTCCCAGACATGTTCAATTGAAGATACGTCAGGCGATCGTGGTGGCCAAGAACTGTTGATGTGATGTTGATCCTTGAAGGCTAACGATTCTCTGGCAACATGCGACACTCGACAATTCGACCCCTCTCAAAGCTGGGCACCTGGCGAATCCTAAGCTCTCACATTTTGAGCAATGACAAAAAGGCTTCTCAATAAGCTGCTTGAAATTTAACATTTAACTGACACCGTAAATGTATGAAAACTAAATGCGCCTTTATCACCAAACAATACACGCACCCACCACAAAAGCTTAACAGAAAAACCTTACCATTTTATCACTTGTTGTTCATGGCAAGATAAATCGATATGTGAAAAATGTTTGAATTCTAATAAACATACGTAGAGTTTTAAAGAAAGTATATGAAGGCACCATATGTGTGTTTCATTTAGCTGGTCTCTTTAGCATGATTTTTTACGACTTTTGGTTTTATTTAATGAAAATAATTAATTATACCTACGTTCAATAATTATTATATCAAGAAAATTTTTGAATTATAAAATTTCTATGACTCAAGTAAAAATAAAACTCAACGTGCTAGAAAAACAAATATGTATTTCGTTAAATAAAAAATAGCATAATCATTGGTAGGGGAAGAAAAAGTCGCAGTCCTATGTAAAAAGAAGAAAATACCATAGTGAACACCCTTGTAGTGCAATAAGACTATGTTGGGTTCAGAGTTGATATCATAGATCAAATCAACAGATATTAAGTTATATCTAAACCATAATCTGCAATAATGAATCGACTGGAATATATAACCTCATATATTATACGTAATAGGCGATATGTGGGCGTAAAAAAAATCACAATTTAATGAGCCTTTCAACATTCATAAGTCAAGCAGAGAAAATTGCTTTGGTTAAGGTCATGGTGCAACAATCTGAACATTAATGCCTGTTATTTCATATTCAAATCATTTTTTTTTTCTAGAGATGACATCATCACGTAGTGTTTTGCAGGAGGTTGAATATACAAAGAAACAAACATATGTCGAAATAAGACAGCGCAAAGCTCCATCTGTCAGAATAAACCTCTACGGAAAGCGCATACTAGTTGTTAGGCATCTTAGATAGACCAGTCACCACGTGACCTCTAGATGGCTGACAATTTTTCCGTTCGACCGCTTTGACTCCAACTAATAGCAGTTATGCGCTCTTCTCAGAAGTCGATTCTGGTGTGATAGATGGCTTTGCGCTGTCTCATTTCGATAGACCATACTTCCTGGATAGCGGATACTACGATGCTTACATTTGTTGTCCAGAGACGAGATACCAAGCCTAGAAGAATGCTGATGAGTACCCAAGAAGCACGAACCAGCTGTCCATGTTTGGCGGTCTTTTGGTCGGACGCACGAAATCATCATGCTTTGTTTAAACAAAGATGTATTGCATAAGGTTTGATGTTGCACTTGGTAGTTAATGCACCAGGAAATATCAACACATTCTCACGTATATTTGAGCGTTGAAGATAGCCAGCAATATATGTCCAAAAGGGAATCCGGCGTTGCCAGATGGGCCAGACAGAATTTATTCAGAATAAGCACAATATTCCCCCAGAATTACGAGTACTTTCTTGGAGAAATCTCCCAATCCACACTTTTTTGAGGGGGGAGAGTTTTCGCCTTAAATAGCAAGATGTGGGGGGAGCCTCCTGCCCCAACGGGTAATTTATAACTTCATGCGATCAATCAGAAATTATTCGTAAGACCTGTAAGTTATCCCCCAGTTGATTAGTTTCTAGGGCACTGAAATAGAAAACTATCTACCAAAGAGTCATTCGGATGGTCGGAGAAAAGGTATGCTATTTGTTTAGGGCTTAGGAGTACTTTCTTTTCTTTCTCCACGTGACCTCGTCAGACCCAGAGAAGACCTAGTCTCGAGTACTGCTCACATGTTTGGGACGCTGCCCCCACCGCGCTTACGTTATTCATGCTCATTGAGGGTTTCTCAATGCTGTTCAGAGGAGCTCCGTCCAACTGATAGATTACTCTTCTCTAACGGATAGACTCAGAACCCTTTGGCATTGGCGGATCGCTGACGATTTAGCTCTCTTATACCGCTACACCAATGGGCTTTGCTCCTCAGAGCTCTCTTCCATGATGTCGTCGCGCGACGAGTCTGCCAGGCAGACCCGTCTGAGTTTGACCTACCATCCTAACCGTGTCGAACTTCGCATATCCAGAACATAGTAGTATGACCACTCCTTCATCCCTAGGGTGTCGAGGTGGTGGAACAACCTACCTGCGGAGACTTATTTTATTTCTACTCGCACTAACCTCAGGTAAGGTACCTAGGTCGAATATGGCCAGCCTGTAAATATGGCCACATACCGTTTTCCCAAACACGAAAGTTTGTTATGAGCTGAACGCGACCCTAAATTGTCGCTAGTGTCGCATGTATTCGAACGGCCTACCTGTCACCCATCCGTGCAAGCGTTAGCCGCTCAGCCGTCATTATAGTGAAAAGCAGTGTTGAGGTTATAAAAACAGTAAGTAAGTATTGTCCTGTATTTTAACGTTGTTTTCATTATAAATCTTTATTATTCACATTACGATGTTGTGTAATAATTGTAGTTTCATATTTCTTTGTATATTTATCATAGTAATAGTGTGTTTTTCATTCGTGAATATGAAAACAAAAAATTTGGATGACTGCAAATATGGCCACCGTTTGGCCATATTAACAGTACTTACTGAATTGCTGACACGTTTTTTTGTTTTTTGTTTTAGACCATGGCACGCTATAAATGTAAAGGGCTTCGAAGTAACTGGGCAGATGCTAATATGAAATTAGCTTTAGCTGCAGTCAGAAGTGGTAAAATGAAAATTTATACGGCTTCCAAGCATTATAATGTGCCAAGACGCACTCTGAGACGTTATTTACAAGAAAACAAAGAGACCAAATCTACTTTGGGCCGGAAACCACTTCTTAACCCTGAAGATGAAAAGATTTTGGAATCCCGTATTATTCGTCTGTGTAATGTGGGATATCCATTAACACAGCGTGTATTTCGTAGATGCGTGAAGACATTCTGTGATCAAAATAACATTCCAGCGCCAAGTGGAGGCTTGATGGTGGGACGAGATTGGCTGAGAGGATTTTTAAAACGTCATAGGAATATCAGTAGACAAAAAGCACAGAACCTAAACCCCGCAAGGGCACAAAAGCTGAATAAAGCAGTAGTTTCCGATTATTTTAGTAAATTGAAGAAAATCTTAGTAGAAAATGACCTTATGAACAAACCGGAACGTATCTATAATATTGACGAAAAAGGTTGCCAGCTTAATTTGCACAAATCACCAGAAGTTTTGGCTGAACGTGGATCCAAGAAAGTACATTTGGTAGCACCCGAACACGGCGAGAATGTAACAATAGTTTCATGTGGCAACGCTTTAGGCCATGTCATTCCGCCCATGATACTCTTTAAGGGCAAACGAATGAAGCCAGAATGGGTAGATTCGTTACCCACCGGTTCAGTAGCCCAAATGACACCCAAAGGGAGTATGAATTCTGAAACATTTGTGAACTGGACACACCATTTTGCAAAATTTAAATTGCCAGGACCTTGTTTACTTATCTTGGATGGAGCGAAGTGCCACTTAGACTATTCGATAGTTGAAGCAGCAGAACAATTCGACATCAAGCTTTTCTGTCTCCCGAGCAACACCACACATGAATTGCAGCCCATGGACAAATCAGTATTTCGTTCTTTTGAATATTACTGGGATGAAGAAGTTTTAAAATACTGGTCTATTCACGAGGACAGGAAAATAACCAAACAAAGGTTTGGGATATTATTTTCCAAAGTGTGGGATAAAGCTGCGACACCTGCTAATGTCAAAGCTGGATTTGAAGCGACCGGAATTTTTCCATTCAATCCAGATAGGATTCCAGAAGAAGTATACGCTCCCAGCATACCTACTCATAATTTCGCAGAACCTGGAGCTTCTCCTTCTGAAAATCAAGAAAATGGAGATACTAACGACAGCGACGCTACAAATCTGTTAATTCCTCCTCAGGAAAATGAAGATACTAATGAAAGCGTCGTTACTGATGCCAGTGGAAATTCTCCTTATCCTCTCCCAAATGAAGACAAAGGTAATTCAAATCCATCAAATGATTCCTCAGATTCACAGCCAAGCCAAGCAAAGCGTTGTGCTGCAACTCCAGACAACGCCTCTGATGATCATCCACAGCACCCAAATCAAGAAGATATATCGAACTTTATAGAACCCCTGCCAAGTGTTTATGACGATTACGACAGTAGCGATTACATTCCTTTGTCCAAACTAAAGCAACATAACAATAATATCGAGTCAAAAACTGAATTAAATGTAGTCTGCTCCACAACACTTAATGAGTCATATACATCTTTGTGTCAAATGTTAAAAACTCCAGAGAAAACGTTAAGCCCAAAAACTGCTCCGAGGGCAAAAGCTATCAATAGTCTCGCACAGGCGCTAACAAAATCAATGTTTACAGATAAAAATAACATGTCAGGGCCATCAAATGCTCCTAAACAAAAAATAGAAAATATACCAGGCCCATTTAAAGTGGCTTACCAAAAAGAAAATATTCTGCTAAAAGGAACAACAGTGAAGCAGTAACTCCGAAGAAGGTTTCTAAACAGTCACGTGGTAAAGGACAATCTGAAAAATCTAAAGATTCATGGTACTGTTATGTTTGCAATGAGGACAGAATAGCAGACATGAGAATATGCTTTTTATGTGAAACATATGTCCATGAGGACTGTGTTGGATTAACAAAAGAAGATACAGATAAATTTGTATGCACTCGGTGCAGCCTGGACTAACCACGACGATGATAATGTACTGGATGTCGCCTAAACAATATCTTTTAAATAAAGTTGTATTAAAATCTAATGTCCATTTTTATTTCACTTATTTAGAAGTTATTTAAAATAATATATACCGTAAATATGGCCACATATATGGGCATATTTACCTACCCCGTCGGAAATATGGCCAAATTTCAATCATTTAATATCTTTGTATTTTTCTGCCTTCATCATAAAGTTAAATATTCAGTCTTCATGGACAACTATTTTGACTTGTTTCTTTTATCTTTATTATTTTAGAAAAAAGTTAAGAAACCTTAAGGTGGCCATATGCGACCTAGGTACCTTAGTTCAAAAATCGGATTCAAGCTCCTTGTAACAGCCGCGGTGCCCAGGTATAAAGAAATTGCGTCAAGTAGATTGAATTTATACTTTCTATGCTTTCGTTGGAGGTTTCAAAGGAAACGGATGAGTCAAATGGCAAAATCTAATCGTGATTAGCTAGGTTCACTTAGATACGATGAACCTCCGACCTCTACATATCAAACTACTTATACGCAGCAAATCTTTAAAATTTCTGTTTCTACAGCAGATGTAAGGAAAATATATGTAACTTATTGTCTAAGTTGTGCATAGTATCACTGAGATCAGCAGCTCCTCAATAATAGAAAGTCTTTCGCTGACAAGTATGCAACAATTTACAACCATTTACCGCTCAGCTTCCAACTAAACATTTTCATCCCTTCTAAACAATGTCTGAAAATGAGCAGGAATATCTGAAACGTTGTATCACTCTGTTCCAGCGATTTTATTTCTGCCGCCTCTGAATCAATTTTCAAAACGTACGAATATCTAAACAATGGAAATATTAAACTTGCAATAATATTCGAACTCCGGTTCACAAGTTTCCTGTTGTTTAAAGGCTGTCAGTCCGTATCTCTTGTATATCAATGCGTCATAAGTAATGTCAATCTACTTGACGAAAGTTACCCAAATTAAAGGGTAGGCAAAATGGGGGGTACATTTAATCATCATAAAATTCAGAAAAAATATATTATATATATACATACGTATATATATATATATATATATAAACACAGTTCATCATTTACAAAGTGGTACATACTCCTGATATCCAGGTATCGCTAAAATAGATAAACATTTCGAATGATAAGCATATTATATGTCGGACTTACTATATGTCACTCAACTCTCCGATGTTTGCCGTTATCAGAAGCTTTTTAATGATCGAATGACTCTGACTAATACTAAACACGTTTAATTTACAACCCCGTACCCCCTACAACCCCTAAGTTTCAACCCCTACAAATGAATTTTCCTAAAATTATCTGGAGCCTCTGAAATGTCAAAAAAACGAAGTTTAAGCGATTTTTACTTTTTTCCGTGTTTTTGCCAATATCTCCTCCACTACTAGACAGATTTTTTATAGGTGGTTATAAACATAGCAGACAGACAGACAATCAGACCGACGGAAATGTACATACCATATAACATTCAACAATCACAATATCTCAATTTCGATTATTTTCGCGATCACATTACTTCGCCACGGTATCCAGATATTTTTTAGGCTTGCGCGGCCGTTTCGGTGTAAAGAAAGTTTCGCCTTTTCCGCGAGCCAGTTCACCAGTGCGGGAACGAAAATAGTATCCGGTAGGTGGTAAATTAATATTTCTACGATAAAGTGAATTTACAAGAGAGGCCGAGGCAGTGGCACTGCGATAAGGAAACCGAGAATGTTTTGCATAAAACTGAAATTATTTATAATGAGAGATTGTTCGGCTGGATACAAATGTGTCGGGCCGTTTGGAATAAGGTACATTAACTGCAGGTTTATCAGTAATTGCAAATGCCTGTACAGGAGCTGATATTAAATGCCAGTATTATTATTCACTCACATGGTCCGGATCAGCACTAACACATAGTATAAAATGTCCACCTTGGATGCTACTTGAATGCTAAGTGTGCCTAGAAAATCCAGATTCCAGCGTAGTTTATGATTGACTACCATATCACTTATTGATCTGAAAGAAACAAGTTCTTATTCTTTTTAACACATATACCTGTATACCCCAAAAATTTAAAGAAATTAAAAGTACATAAAACTTTCTTACATCTGCAAGGTACCTTGGTACTTTGATCTTCACGTTGGGGCTTTGTTTTTATCAGGGTATTGCAGATTGTAGATTACGGCTCCAGATTCATCTAGTACACTATTACACAAAAAAAAAAAACATATTTTATACCCAAATTTTATATTCTAAGTTATAATGTGTGACTATGGAAAAAAGAAGAGGAGATACATTTGGTCGAGATACTAGACAAAAGGGATCTTTCAACATAAAAACAGAAAGCAGCAGCGGAGCAGGCCGGTGCAACTAGTTGCCTACATCCAGTTGTTTAGTTCGCTGTGATTGAGGTGTAATTTAAGGAAACAAACACGTTCTTATTTTGCGTTGCTTTCTGATAATCAGAAATACCAGATCGCTCCAATCTTACCATCAAAATGCTAAATAAATACCAAAGGAGAAAAATCTTTCTGACATAGATGATAGCTTGTGATGCCAACTGTTACAACGCACTGTGAAATGAAATTTCAAATCCTCCCTTGAATATTCCTCATTGTTTCACTATTCCCGAGGAGAGATCCATTGTTTCTAAGGAAGCCTCAAGCCTCAAGATAGGTCTATAAACTCGACTCTTAGAAGCCTACATATTGTAAATACGGTTCTGTCCATAGCATATGCTTTAATCAGCAGATAACTTCTCTCAACATTTTATTTTCTTGAACTACCGAGCTCTATGAATTTCTACAAATGAAAATAGGAAATGCATTTAGCGGTGTAGAGTAACTGTATTTATTTTGTGCAATGTTGATATCAAATAATTCAGTAGGCCACGCCTGTGAAAACTCTAAGGCACTGACACATATACAGTGCACATGCACTGTATATGTGTCATACATAAATTATCCCTACAATGACGACTCGTCTATAATAAACATTTCACAAACATTAACATTAGACAACAGTGTATTTTTCTTTGATCTTCTCGTCAAAAACCTCTTTAGCCAGACTTGTCTTCCCATAACCATCTTGTCACACTTGATGAGTACTTGTACTTTTTTTGCTTTTGGAGAAGACATGTGTACTGCCATGTTTGCACAAATAAGAATTTGAGTCCACCAGTGACGAGTCAGGTGTGATTCTTTTGTAAAATCGGACTTTGTTTAAGTGATCGTCACTGGTGGATCCAAATTCTTATTTGGACAAACATGGCAGTGGACATGTCTTCTCCAAAAGCAAATCAACTGACAAGCTGGTTAACTTTTCTATAACTTTTTGTCCTCCATCAAGACTTCGATCTTAAGAAACATTACAAACCAAAAAATATCGTCAAATTGGGCATAATAGCTACTAAGATTACTCATGTCATCAATCGCGGCAGCTGCTGCGACAAAGCTAGGCTCTTCGTTTAGAGTTAAGTTGTACTTTTCTCTTTAATCTGTATGAGATTCAGATAAGGCCTAACCTGAAGTACTTCTCACATGTTTAGGGTGCTGTTGCTGCATTATCTCTAACGGACAGCCTCGGGATTTCTTCGCACCGACGGGCCATCAGCGATCTAGTTCTTTTCTGCCGCCATGTCAAGGGGTTTTACTCCTCAGAGCTCTCCTCCATGGTGCCGCCGCGTGATGTGGCTACCACACAGACCCGCCTAACTTCGGCCTCCCATCCTAACCGTGTCGATCTTCGTACGTCAAAAGCTGGCCGATACGATCACTCCTTTGTCCCCAGGACATCGAAGATGTGGAACAATCTGCCTGAGGAGGCTTTTCCCAGATCTATTAACCTTAGGCAGTTCAAAAACTGGATTAACAGGGTGTCTTTAACCTCCTCACCGCAGCAGCGGTGCCCTGGTATTCAGGCCGCATCCGCATAAAAGAGATGCATAGATCCACGTAAATATCCCGAAAAATTTTCATAATCACAATATTTCTCAAAACCCAAAAGGATAGCATAACAACATATTTATAATACTAAGCAATACATAGGAAAATTTTCTCACAAGTACTTCTAAGGATCTTCAAGTTGCTGCAAAACAAAATTAAGATGATAATAACGTTAGCAAGAACTGAAAGTATAGGTAGCTGAATAAGCTCATGTTAATATAGATAGCGTAATTGGAAGAGGTATACAATTATCTCTATTGAAATTGTACCAGGAAACTTGATCATTAGCACATGATTGCTACTAAGAAATGGTCCCGATAGGGTTAATTTAAAAACAAATTATTTGTTGAATAAATACTGCTACATAATATGCATAAGTTTTCAAAACCAATTATAATAAAGTACGATAATTACTTAATTTACCAACTAATTTTTGCACAGGGAATTCGATTAAGATTTAAGGCCGTAACATTCTCAATTTTTTTCTTAAAATGATCAATTTTGTCCTCAAACGTGAGTTTGTAGGAGTTCCTTCATTACGTTAAATCTAGAAAATCTCAGGATCCACAATACATTATCTTTAGTCCATAAGACCTTATTGGATGAAAAACTAGAGTATCTCCGTAGTAAACTATAAAGCAGTGCTTCTTCTATCCACCTCCTCTACCTGATAACAATATATGATCATTTTCCATGAGTTGAGCTAGAACTGTCTTTAAAACTTCTGAGTTACATTAAGTTTTATATAAATGACCTGAAACTTAGGCATGTGTACTTGTATAGACATAAACATTATTAGGCTTTGGTCATAGATCCTATGTGCTATTGTACTTTAGTACTAGGTATATCTTTATTCATGGTTGTACGTTTAGTTCTAGGCTGACTTGGAAAATACCTCAAGGTAATACTTTGCCATTTCGATTCTTTAATTTTGGATTTTAGTGCCTCACCTTCTAACACATCCTTGCAAGTTATGTAAAATTAGATTTAAACCAACCAGAGAAAAGGCGAAAGTTATTGGTGGGGCTATAGGTAGTTATGTTCTTAATAAGGTAATATGCAACACCTGTAATTCTTTTTATAAAAATACAGCTTTCACTACCATACCTATCCTGTCATAAAGCTAGTAAGGTTATTGGGTACATGACACAGAAATGCGTATAAATACGACTTACATATTTCTATAATAACGGATGATTGATTTATTCTTTAACTAAAATGACACACTTTATATCAGAATAATATTAATTTTAAAAAATCTTTCAGACATATCGAGTTCTAACGTAAACAGTACAATTTTCACATGTTAGCATTTCTGCTAGAAGCTTTTGACAAACATGAATCATTCATATATAAAACGCTTAAAGCAAAGTTTAAAGAATGCTATGAGTGAAGTCACTCCGTTCGTGCCCGAACTTCTTAAGCGGTGTTAGAAGCCTTCCCAGTAACCAGATTTCTTTCAGCAGTCTTCACGAAAAAGGCACTCCTACCCAGCGACTTGAGACCAAGCAGGAGGAGAAATCATACAATTTGCTTTGATCCAAAATAACGCAGTCAGTAGTCAGGATGCAAGTTCATACAACAAATCGGATTAATTTTGTACTTCTCTGCGAAAACATTTAAAAAATGCGTGCGTTTCCATACAAGTCCTAGTATTCTAGCAGATTCTAGACAATTGCCGAAAATTGTGAAGATGCCTAGTCTCATTCAAAGGTTTATTAAATGCAAAATATCGTCGACAAACAAAACTTTTGACGGACACTGAAAAGGGCCAGCAGAAACAATAACTGTGAGTCTACAGTTCTTAGGAAGGTCGTTACGGTCGCGGTATGAAGAGCAATTTTAAAAAAGGCCTATTATCATCAAATTAACTAGATCACTTACTAATCTTTTTATAGTATCAATATATTGAGAATGATATTATAACAGCAGTAATTTTCATGTTACGCACAACTGAGTATTTGCTTTAAGCCAATAGTCTTCTCGGACGGCAACACCTGCTGCTGTTTAAGGGAGACAATTACTTGTACCTTCCACTTTCCAAAAATCACGAATTAAGCGAGAATTGTTCATATGTTGTATCGTTAACAAATGTGAGAGATTTTAACTGTTGCATCGTTTTTGGTCCCTTGAAATTTTTCAAGTGCATCTTTGTATTTTTGTGCAGAACGGAGTTTCAAGTAGTTCGCACCACTGTTCATTCGAGATCAAATATAACGGTCATTCAAGGTCATGTGTGAACGTAAAATATTTTACTCGTTTCACTTTCGGGGTCAAAAATAGGGATTTATATTTAAAATTTTGTAGTTGACTTTCAAATGACCTTCAAGGTCAATGTTAAAATTGAATAATAAGATCACTTAAGGTCAAATATGAAGGTGAAGTTTTTCGCTCGTTTCATCACCGGAATCAAAAGTAGGGGTTTACATTTACAATTGAAAGGTTACCCCCAAGTAACCTTCAAGGTCACCGACCGATAATTCATGAAACATTCTACTTTTATTTGAAGTATTTCTCATTCCCAAACAGTTTTCGATCCGTTCTGGTACTTTCGCCACACCCTGTATAGAAAGACCTTCATTTAATCTTAACATTCTTATTTACACTGTTTAGGGTTAACCTATTTTTCTTTGTATTAAATCCGACAGAATCCAAGTTACAGTTCACATTCCTCAAATCATTAGCATCGTTAACAAATCGTCACTTGAATGCAGAAGCATTCACAAGATGCAAATTTTACAGGAGAGCTATTTTTCGGGTTTGAAGGGAATCCATTACAG